TAGGGTGATAGAGAATTTTAGGCACTATCAGAATATATAATTACTTTTATAAAAAGCGATTTCTATAGTGATGATAAATTTAAAAAGCACGTTGAAGAAATAGTAACAAAATACAGTCCGTGGGAATCTGACAATGTGGGGGCCGTCATTGCACTCAATTTGTTTTTCAGCAAATAAATGCAAGACAAGATATAAATATACAGAATTGTAGAGAATTCCAAGTGCTATCAGAATATGGGGTCACTTTTGTAAAAGTATGTTTTCGTAAGGAAAATATCTTAAAAATACTGTATGCAACTATTTTTTTTCACGAGGATAGATACAAGTAGCATCTGTTCTAAATTTCTTGCAAAAGCTAATCATTTACCAAACTTTTTTTATTAAGAGATCAAGAAAAACCTTATCAGCAGTCAGGGGTGTCCCGAACAGGGACGGGTGGTGTGTGTGCGTTCCTCAATAGTGCAAATTTTTCTTGGCTTCTGCACGATTTTGATGGCGGTCCCCCATCAAAATATCGTCGACTTCCCGAATCCTAACCGCTCTGGGACAGTCCTGCCAACAGATCAAACTTGAAGAAATCACTTAAGCTAAGCTATAGCAACGTCTTCCAGATTTGGCATGACGAATAGAATAATTCGATAGAAGTCACCAGCTGCATTCTCTGATTTACATAAATATAATGCATTAGAATAATAGTCTTTATATTTTTAGGTCTTTTAAATAAACTCAAAAGAAATCATAATCCTATCCAAAATGTGTAATTTAACGTTTTTGGCAGCCCTCTTTAAATCTTTTCCACATTTTTCATATTTTCCTTTAGCTTCTAATAACGGCTACTATTTGGGGCTAAAAGGAAGCAACGTTTTACTATTTTTCGGATTGTATTGATTAGATCAATAGAAACGAGTATTTAGACTTCTTTATTTCTGTTAGCTCTTTCTAGTAATCAATGAAAATCAGCTCAATGCCTTTAAGCGTAAAATTTTGTGCATTTCGAAAAAGAACCATTTCTTAAAAATTAAAAATTGATCATAGTCTTTTTTCATGAAATTAATTTATGTTTATAATACACTTTTAGTAGGGTAGATGACGCAAAGGGATGGTCTTTTCTAACCTCCACCGACAGAATTCTACATTGATTTGAGAAATTTATCAGACAGGAAACCACGTGTACTGGTTATAAAAAAATTAATTTTTTCGTTCTTATCCAAGGATTGTTTTCGAATATACAAAGAGCATCACGATACGACTGAGAATGATCCGGAGACATCGCCATATATCCCATGTATTCGAAAAAACGCATTTATAAACTTGTCACTGGCGGATCTGGCCGGTGAACGAGCGACGAGCGCCCCCTCGTACTTTTTAAACAAAAAAACCTATTTTTTTCCCAGTAGATCTCTCTTAGAATAATTTGTTTCTATGACGACGGCACGTATCTCGCACTTTTATCGTATACCGTATGTTCTAAAAAGTAATTCTGGATCCGCCACTGAAACTTGTCTAGATGTTTCATTTTGAACGTATTTATTTTTCCTAAAATTTTATATGGGATGTCCCTTTCTCGAAACAGTTAGAGTGATAAAAACCCTAGTGCATATACTTGGGCCTAGGTACTTGGAACAACTACTTCGCCTGCGTAATGAAGCCGGTATTTGCCGTTTTTCCAGAGGTAAATTTACTTGTAAGTAAGTCATTTTTCATTTGACAAGTGTTGGTCAAGTAAATTTGCTAATACTTTCACAAAGTACTTAATAGCAATAAAATCAACCATTGCAGTTTTGGAGAAGTACTTGTAAAATTTCATGACAAGTGAGTAATTTTGAAAATACTTATTAAGTTTTTCAAGTATTTAATAAGTGATCAAGTATATTCACTAAGAATATTTTCATCATAGTGGCAACCATAAAAATAGTCAAGTGCTTTTTTCATCTCTAGTTCAATCAATAGTGCAAAAGTAAAAATAAAAACCTTTTTAAATACTTTTTTGGACGAAGATAACAAAAAGTGTTACCTTTGATGAAGGGTCGGATTCTAATTCCTATTTTTTGAGACATTTATCTTGTTGATTTCAGAATAAGGTACAATCAATATTAAAACAATAAAAATAAAATCTACTACTCTCTCTAACCCTATGTCAAGCTTTTATAGTAGAATTAATCTGGTTATTATATTCAACCGATTGTTCTGACAATGTTCGATGGGTGAAAATTGCACGTTCACGTTTAGACGTATCAAATAGTTTTGTAGTACTAAACTCGTGGGCTTCATTCCAAGATTTTACTGTCATCTGAATACGAATTATTAGATGTCCATCATCACTCTTTTCTTGTATATATTTATTAGAGTGAGAATAGTGTTCAGATGCCCAAAGTTCAACAGTTGCTTGAGACGGAATTATAAAGCCAGATGGAAATTCAAAATATAATTTTGGTTTTGATTCTACTTGACGTTCAATCGACCATCCAGATAAATCATATGTTTTCTTTGAACTTATATTATCAATTATAATTACATCACCAAGTGGACTACAGCCATTGAACATAATAGGTCCTTTTGATCGTCGGCAAAATAATGTTGTACGTAGTAGATGATCATCATCAATATTAATATTATTTAATTGTTGTAGAGTAGTGTCGTTGAACGTATTTGTATCCATCATCGTATATCTTAATTATTTTTGAAAAGTAACAGATGTTCAACTCGATTGTTAAATATTTATATTAGTTTCTAATACGACAAATTGATATTCCTAGTTATCATTTCGAATAAACGAAGAAAATAACGCGAGAACTATCGAAGCGTTTCTGAACGGTTTATCTGTTTCGAATAAAAAAACTCATACATATTTCATTATTACGATAAAAATCTCTATTTTTTTTTTTTTAATATTTGAACGTAACTATTGTTGATTTTCAGTCCTATCAAATGTCCTTATACGTATTGATTGTTAAATGATGTTTCATTCGACTGTAGACACATATAATTTGATCACGATATATCTTTATTCGTTTACAAACACATGAAATATTTGAAAATATATTCTCTTAATGATAAATTATTCTAAATAAAATAATACTTATTAATACACAATCTCGAAAAAAAGATCTTTATATGAGAAAGAATAAATAGATCACTAAATATTCGTATCCACTCATTCGACCGTAAATGAACGTTATTAATAAAAAAAAAAAAGTACTTTTGATGTTACATCACTGTAAACCTGACGAAAAAAACCTATTTACTTTTTTCAGATTATAGTAAAATAGTTAAACGGATTTAATCATATAGAATAGAACACGTCTTCAATAGATAGTTATAGCATATTCATTAGAATGCAGCTGACCATTTTCTCATCGTACTTTGAGAAGTTCAAATAAGTAGACATTCTCTCTCTTTATCAATGTCTAATATCATTTTTCAATGTTTAAGAGTAAGAAAACGATGTTTGGTTATAACTTTAAATAATCTAATTTAGTATACATAGAATAGACATACATCTAAATGCAAGTACATTAGAAAAATATATCTTTGATGTCTACACTTGAAAATATAGTATAGAACTAAGCTAGAGATCTTCTCGACGTAATCGAATATGACGATTCCGAAAATCTACAACGCTCGAAAGTAGCTTCTCTAGAAATAAATCACCGCATTGTCGTTGTAACTCAAATAAACTTTCCTAGTTTTTCTTAGTGAAACAAATATTTCGAAGAACTATTTTTTGACTACAGATCGTTACATATAGTGCGAGGAGTGTCGAAAGATTTTGAACTTAAAGCAATCAAAAATGCAAATAAATTTAGAAATTTTGTCGTCTAATTGTCCACTTCAAGCGTTGAATAAATCATAAAAATTTTCCATTTTAGTATTTCTATTTACTAATTTACAATATACTTAAATCACTTAACTGGTCGAAACGACACTATGTGTGGTCACGCTAAAAGTATTTCGTGAATGAACCACACTCTAAAAAAAAGCGTAGATTAAAAAGCGAAAAAGTGTTTTTTATTTGGTAACTATACCGAACGCTTTTTTTTTTTCAAAATCCGTAAAAGACCGGCAGTTTTTTATTTTTTACCGGTCAAAAACCTTTTTGGTTGATTTATATATTGTAATGCGTTTTTTTAAGGGTGTTTTTTTACTATTGAAAGGCTTTTTTGTGGGTGACTGTTTCGTTTTTGATCTACGATTTATTTTTAGAGTGTATTTCATCACCATATATAAGAAAATACCAATTTTTAGTCAGTTATCTACGATATTGTTTTACCACGGTTTAATTTTCTAGTAGTGATAGCAAAATAAAGAAGTGAACAACTCATAACCAAACCGACCCGTTAATGGTAATAAAAAAATTACTAAAATGGAAA